ATGTACTTAAATATCAGCTCTTCTTTTTCAATCCAGTTCACATCCAAAACTTCTTAGTACCCCAAGTTCAAATATATCAAGCACCAAAGCATCCTTGTCCAATTTGGCCACAAAACCTGGAATTTATTATTATGACAAGGCAAAGTCTCAGGCTGGCTGGAGCCCAAGCCCCTTGTCCTTTCTACAATATCAACCAGGGCCTCTACATAACTGGATGGAATACTTTATATATCCATTTTCCTGACTTTAACCATGAAAGAGCAATGAAGTCCATAATATTTCTAAATTTCCCATCATAAAAGGCCTTCTCTCAAAGGAGCATTCTGGAGACTCCAATAGCAAACCTCATGCAAACACCTAATTATCACTATTATCTCCAGGAAACGCCTAAGGCATATGGAGCACTTACTGTCCTAAAGTGTACACGGATTTAACAACCCTACAAGGTATATATAATTACTGTTATTCATACTTTACAGATGAAAAAACTGAGGCCCAGAGAGGTAAAGTAGTTTTCCCAAGATTACACAGCTAATAAGTGACAGAGCCTGGGCTGGAACACAGCCCCTTGACTCCTAAGTCTGGGCTCCTAACAATCTCTGCTGTGTCACCAAGAGCGGAACTCTATTCAGCCAGAAGCAAAGGACGTGACATCATAAAATGGTTCCCAGCAACGTGGGGCAAATGCCTGGTTTCCTAACTAAACCATTTCAACGGTTTTCTCAACATCAGGATGTGGTAACTTTCTCAAGAAAGAGCTTTGGGGCCAGAGGATTCCTCCAGCAAGGAAGCTGCATGTCTTGGCAACACCTGCTGAGTGACCCCAGAATTATACTCTGTGCCCCAGGACATGTGGCACCTTGTTTTTTGGTTTTTGGGATTTGTTTTGTTTTGATCACAAATCCTCACCATTCTACAGCTTTATTGACTAGAATCATTAGATGAAATGTGTGGAACGGGTTCAAATCCACCCCCTCTCACTATCTCTATGACCATGAACATGTTACTATTATTAGAGACAGGGTCTCACTGTATTGGCCAGGCTGGAGTGCAGTGTCTATTCACAGGTACAATCATAGCTCACTGCAGCCTCAAACTCTTGGGCTGAAGCGATCCTCCAAACTCAGCCTCCCGAGCAGCTGGGACTACAAGCGCGTATCACCACACCTGGCTACCATGAATAAACTATTTAACATTAATCAATCTTAGTTTCCTCATCTATAAAACGGGGGAATTAACCCCCAAAACTCATACAGTCGTTGTGGGAATTAAAACAGGGCCATTGATCTCAAGTGCTGATGCACCATGTCTTAATATTAGTTTCTTCTTCCTTTAACGCACTTTTCTCTCTCCATGCCTCCCCATCCTCCCCTTGTTATATTTTGGGACGCCCCTCCATCCATCTCTCTGTACTTTCAAACATCAGGATCCCCACCTTGACTCCTAAAAATGTAGATTATATGCAAGAACATTTATGCAAATGCATGTCACTCCAGGTGCAAGATTTGACTCTGAATCCATGTCACTGTTCAGGAAATAAATTAGTTCCAAAGCTGGCAAACTCTAAAGAGGGTATGATCCTCCTTTCCAATACCAACCAGAAACTTTTTATTGTAATAAAATTATCTGCACCCCTCCCTCTGGGCCTCCATATTAACGGAGCATATTTCTCTCATGTTAATAATGATCACTTTTAAGTAATAATCTGCATTTTTCTCTTATGCACTGAATCAGAAGTTCTCAACTATGACTGTATATTAAAATCATCAGGGGAGCTTTGGAAAAAAATATATAGATAGATAGATACATAGATACATAGATAGATTGATAGATAGATACCCAGGTCCCACCCCGGATTCTTATTTCAAAGATCTAGAATCGGGGAGGGGATGGTAGTTACTTGCGTTCCCAGGTGATTCCAAGGCACGGCCGGGGCAGAACACCCACCTGTTGGGCAGGTCTGTTTAATTCACCTTTGCATCCCCACCACCTGGCACGGCGCCTGCACACAGCAGGCGTCTCATAGTTCTTCATGGCACAAATTAACCACAGGACGTTAGAGTCCACCGATCATATTAATTCATTAAAATATTTACTGGGGGTGTACTCTATGTACCAGGCACTGTCGCAGGCATAGAACTGTCATCACTAAAACGCAGGAGAGCAGTGAAGGAGGGTGCGGGAACTGTCTTTGGGTCAGACGATCCCGAGGTCAACCTCCATCTTGCAGCATCTTCCCTGCAGCCCTTAATGTCCTCAAGCTCCAGTCTCCTCCTCTGTAGAACATTCGTGGGGCCTCCTCGCCGGAGGATCCAGGCAAGCCAGGGACAAAGACCCCACAAAATGGCAGCCGGCAGCATTCTTTTTTTTTTTTTTTT